GTTGGATTTATTGCCAGGTCAGAAAGTAAAAAGTGGGGATTTTGTGAGCATTCAGCCGGAACATGTGATGACTCATGATAATACAGCTGTGGTCATGTCAAAGTAAGTCGGGCATTGGATTTACATTTTGATACGCAGACAACAATGCATCCTGCACATTTTTAGTTAATACCTTTAAATTAGGTTTAAAAATATCGGCGCAAAATCCATTAAATTTCCGAGGCAACCCGTGTTTACGCTTGATCACAATGTGCAAGATAAATCCGAAAAGGTATACTGACTCGATTAACTCGGTTGCGAATTGTACCTTTAAAAATTGTATTTGAGAATATTTTTTCTTATGTCTTGAAGAACTTGGCGAAATATGACACAATAGAAAAATTTGCCGAAACTCATAATGTGGATTTTTATCCTGCCGGCCGAGGAATTGGCCATCAGATAGTAATTGAAGAAGGCTATGCTTTTCCTTATACAATGACTGTGGCCTCTGATTCTCACTCTAACATGTACGGCGGGATAGGATGCCTAGGAACGCCCATAGTCAGAACAGATGCGGCGGCCATCTGGGCTACCGGAAAGACATGGTGGCAGATTCCGCCCGTCGTAAAAGTAGAATTCAAAGGGCAACTTCCTAGTGGCGTCACGGGGAAGGACGTTATTATCACATTGTGTGGAATGTTCAACAAAGACGAAGTGTTGAATTGTGCGATCGAATTTACAGGGGAGGAAAGTATTCGTGGAATCAGCATTGAAGATCGTCTGGCCATATCTAACATGACAACAGAATGGGGTGCTTTGGTCGGTTTGTTCCCGGTAGATGATGTTACAATAAAATGGCTTAGAAACAGGGTCGAAAAATTGGAACTTACGAGATTCGAGAATAAGAATTTGAAAGCCATTGTAAACAACAAACCGTTTGTCCATCCCAGGATCAATCATTCGAGAATTGACGAAATTGAAAAGAACCCTTTACGACCATCTGTCGATTCATATTATGCAAAACACTTGACATTAGATTTGTCGACCGTGACACCATATGTGTCAGGTCCCAACTCGGTAAAAGTTTCAACATCTCTTGCTGAGCTTGAAAAAGAAAATATTGCCATACACAAGGCATACCTTGTGTCGTGTGTTAATTCCCGTGCGATCGATCTAAAGGCTGCGGCTGAAGTTATAAAAGGTCGCAAAGTTGCAGATGGGGTTGAGTTTTATATTGCGGCGGCTAGCAGCGAGGTACAGAATGATGCGGAGAAAAGTGGTGATTGGCAAACACTCGTTGACGCTGGTGCTAAAGTATTGCCTCCTGGCTGTGGACCATGTATTGGTGTGTTTTGTTTTGTTTTTTTTTAATCAATCATCTTGAAATTAAATTATGTTATGATTGATCGATGGGCTATTTCTTCTTCATAGGTCTTGGCACCGGTCTCTTGAAAGATGGAGAGGTTGGTATTTCGGCGACCAATCGAAATTTCAAGGGCCGTATGGGTTCTCCGAGCGCCTTAGCATACCTTGCTTCACCTGGTAAGAAAGATTCTTGCGCCCTAGTCTTATCGAAGGAGTGATAATGATTTTAAGAACGGGTTTAAATTTTTAAAATTTCCAGCCGTAGTTGCAGCTTCCGCAGTAGCCGGCAAGGTAGCCAGTCCGGCATATCTGTCAACTTCCGTTTCAACCCATGGAAGTGTGCAGACACCAAGAATTACGTGTGTCTTAAACTCGAACGTGAAATCCACGGCGAACAAATCACCAGCTAGCTTTGGAGATGTCATACCCGGGTTTCCGGAAACCATCAAAGGGCAGTTATTGTATTGCCACGCGGATAATCTAAACACCGATGGGATTTATCCCGGTAAGTATACTTACATGGATGAACTGACATTCGAGGATATGGCAAAAGTCGTCATGGAAAATTATGATCCTAAATTTTCAAAGATGGTTACCAAGGTATTTGTTCTATTTTGCACATTAATTTCCCTGCATCACCGAAGTTATAAACAAATATTTATTGCTTTTAACAGGGTGACATACTAGTTGGCGGTTTCAATTTTGGATCAGGATCATCGCGAGAGCAAGCAGCCGTTGCACTAAAGGCTTGTGGCATAACATTAGTCCTTGCCGGGTCATTTTCCGAGACATTCAAACGTAACAGCATCAATAACGCGTTGCTCTGCTTGGAAGCGCCTGAACTTGTGTACTTGTTAAGAGAAATTTATAAGGATAATGAGTTAACCACACGTACAAACTTAAATGCAGAAATCAAAGTGATCGAGGGCAAAATGTTGTTAAAAGATTTGAACGAATCAGACAAATTATTTAATATAGGTGTGTTAGGTAGAAGTGTGCAAGAATTATGGGTAGCCGGTGGATTGGAAAATTGGGTACGTCAGAGAATTTGAAAATCAAGTTTTCGAGTGCTTATTGTGAGACCAAAATTTCTTCACTCTACACATGTTTTCTTTGTCTTGCAATTTTTCGTGTAATTTTCGACGATTTTTGCATCTAATTCATGATAATGAGGAATATTTGAAACGAGTTTAGGGTCTAGGTCTATAACAAAAATTTTATAATTAAACGAAGTTTCATATGAGCTATGCTTGTCATATAAATCCTTCAAATATCTTTTGCGATTGCTATTTTCCTCGAAATCTTTGACGTTTTTACCAAAGTCTTGGAGGGAAAGTAATAACTCCTTTGGGGTTTTTTGAGGGAACAGTGCACTATGAAAGAATAATGATATCAATCCGGTGCACCGAAATTAATAATAAATAGTAAAAGATCACACATTACCTCGATGAGTCGATTTTCCCGCTAGCCTCAGTTGACTTTTTGAATGTCATCATTATAGAACAATCTTTCAGCGTTGCCGAAATTAGGAACTCATAAAGTCGTTGACGTATTGAAACGTCATCATCCCTTCCAACGGAAACTAGAAGGTCCAAAGTCGAGAATCAATATCTTAAATGCATCATAATCTCATCGAAATGGAATAAACAAACCCCTTGGATCTTTGATTCGTCTTAGATACTCATCCACCACCATTTTCCACTCTCCTATAGTTGGATCGGAAAAGTTTGATCGTCGAGCCACATAGTACTTGTAGATACCTTCAATGTCCAACTCATCGAGAGAACTCTGAAGGTGCTTTAAACGATTTAGAAAATTTTTCTCCTCTCGAAACATGGTTGACAACAACATGTGCAACAGATCCAAGATCACATCGTTGCAACTAAACATTTCAAGAAATATTTAGTGAATATTGCTTTTGAGGGGTGACTTATATGAAAGCATACTCTTGAGTTTTTTCCTGGTCGCCGGAAAAATCGAGCTCAAAAAATTTGCATAGCTCTCTCTGCCAACCTTCCTTCAAACAGTCAATCGTAGTTATCAGATTGACAATCCAACAACAAAGAATGTACATCATAACGAGAAATTTGTCACAAACCTTGTCTACTTGCAATTGCTCGCCTCTTAAGAACAACTTTAAAGTGTGTCCCGGGAACTTGAGCAATTCTTTGATTGACCTATTCATTCTTTCATCAACTAACGAAAAAAGATCTAAAGGACAATATTCCGTTACGGTTGATAAGCGTTCATCACTTTTATTTAAAAGTTTGTAATGTTGATGCATGCAAAATCGACAGGTTCGTAGCTTTTGAGAATTTTCGGGAGAGATATGCGGCGAGGTTGGTAAGAATACCCACTTTGGCTAATTTTTGGTAAGGGGAATTAACGAAAACTGAAAAGAAAAAAAAAAAAAAAAAAAATTACGAAGACAATCAAGACAATAAATACTTTTAATTCTATGGACAGTGAAGGATTGGGACCTAAATCAAATATCGTATGATCGGAAATTAGAATAGCATAACGTTGAGTGAAATCAATATCTTTGTGAAGACGTTTGGCGGGGCGCATTGAATAAATAAGATTTGCTATTTCTCTCAAAAACTTTGGCTGAACTTCCAATAATATCTAATCGAAAAGTCATTATTATGGTCAACAGATTTTTTTTGAAAAAAAAAAAAAAAAAAAAAATACCGTAAATCACGAAAACGTCTGTATCATTACCGATTCGCCAACATACTCTCCGAGGAGTGGTGCAATCACGGTGGAAACGTACAAACTCGCATTCATAGCATCTTTATTAACCATATCGTTGGTGTCTGCGTTTTTTGCCGATTTCCGCAATCGAAGCACCGTTCCCAACTTGAGTGCATAAGAATCAATTTCATTATACTGAACTGATCATTTTAAGGGAATTGGATAAGACAGAAGAGTTACAAACAAATCTTTTATTTTCACCAACGTAGGTCAAAATTATGTTAACATTTCCTTCAGCCTTATATTTCCATCGTGATGCGAAATATAATTCGGGAATCGATTCGATTCGTGACATTGTTTGTGAATAAGGACAGAGAATGGAGAAATTACGAAAATCGAAAAAGGAAAATTAATAAACAAATTGTGCGATCAACTGTCCAAAGTTCACGGCATTTTTTTCGTGTTACATTTTATTGAAATACTGCGAACAATACCTTTGAGATCAACGCATAACTTTTTTCCAGAGTAATTATTGTCACACTCAAAAACGTGAAATTCAGATTCTCGAAATGAAATAATTTAAGATAGTATGAGAGATAAGCGCGAAGCTACATTATTATAATTATATACTGTATATATACTATACATAGACGATATATATATATATATATATTTATTTATTATTTGTAATTTATTTATTTATTATCTATCACTTATTTATTCAGTCACTTGTAATGTAAATTCGTGATTTCTAACCGCCTGGATGATAATAACGTTACAATACTAAATTCATTGCAATATAGAGTTAAGCTCAAACATCGTATCCTGACAATGTCTCAACAGGGGGCGCACAAAACTTTTAAGACATCGTACCGTTAAGAACGAGCTTTACTTTTAAAAAGGCATCACTAGTATGCGTTATTATTAAGTAGGGTAGAAGATAAATCCAGGATATTTGTTCGGTCAACAAAAAAGATCTCTGGTACATAAATATGGATTATTTTTTTTTATCTTTCGGGACAACAATAAAAATGATAATGCAGTCAAGATATGTATAATACATAAATAACGAGAATTTCAAAAGAAATTGAATTAATATTAAAAACTAATCATAGGTCGATTCAAGATGACCAAGGAATGGCTCTTCGTAACCCCTCGATTGATGTCATCGAATTCGGAGAATCGGGGTCGTCTCTGTACGGAATGTGAAGCTGATTTACAACCGTTCCTTGCACTTTCACACCACTAACCTTTACGCCTGCACCAACAACACGTAATGAATCTGAACTAGTTGATAGCGAGGCCCTTAAGGCGGCTAGACCTCTGGTTCTTTTAATTGATGGATATTTCGGTGGGGTTGATGAAGTTGTTGATGGAGTTTCTGGTGTCTCTATGGAATCTGTAATCGATGACGACATCGATACATTCCTTCTTTCTATTACATCATTGATTCGATTTTCAAGTTCTTCATATCCTTCAAACATGAGATCGTAATGTTCTATAGCAAGTTTCATCAGTATTCCAACGCCACCACCGCTTACATTGTCATTAAGAGTTAAAGAACACATGCTAACATCTAACAATGGGTTACTACTGTGTACAAGGTTTGGTGCAAACATAATTGCGAGATTATGTGGTGTCATCAGGTTTTTGCTCTTGCGTTTCGAAACATCTACGAGAAGTCCGCATACATATCGAAGGAGAAGAATTGTTGCGTGTGATAGTAATGGGAAAACATTGCTACGTATGAACTCAAGTCTTCCAATAGGATGTGATTTGTGCTGGATTTGTTTAAGGGCGTCGTAGGTTCCCGTTGGGAAAACGGCGATCGGCTGATCGTTAAAAAACATTTTAAGCAGAACGGCCGCCACGTGAACCCCATAATCTTTCAAATTAACCGGATTCCCTGTTCATCAAAGAAGACATTGAAAAATAAGAATGACTGGGCATGATAATGATTTATAACTTATTTAGGTAGAAGCCAACCTCGATCGTATGCCTCTTTTGCCTGCCTTAACAAAATCGAACTAGGCGACCTACGAAATACACCCTCGGTGTCTAAACCTAGTAAACCATATGAACTTCGAATTAATTTGCAGCATTTTAGATCTGGAATTGACCATTCAATCGATTCGGAGAATTGTAAGTCTACCTTCAGATCGTATAAACGTCACACAATCTTTAACCACTCTGGGTAAACCGTGTTCTCCTTCAGAGCCCATAAGTTCTTCAATCGAGATTCCAAACATTAGAGGTCCGTCATCACCATAATCCGGCGACCGCGGTAACGTGATTCTATCCTCGTATCTCAAATTGTATCTATATGCGCATTTGGAATGACATGTGCGGTTACACGATTGAACACAAAAGATGCCAGAATGCATAAGTCTTACTCGTAAACGGCTGGTGGTATATCGATTCGCGTGATAGGAACATATCTAGCCAACTCTGAAAGGGTATGCACATATTGTACTTTTTTGGAAAATTTGGGGCTATAAGAAAGCAAAAGGTGAGTTCGAATTCCTGGTAATTTTGATAACCAAACTGATCTCAAGAGACCTTATGATAGCATTCATAAAATCAAAATAAAACCGAATTAAAGAAGATGGTTGAACTACGTATAAGGACTTGAGATTTTTCTTGTATCTTAAAAAATATATATAATTTGAATTCAATTAGATTCTATCATATAAATTGCAACCTCGATAAAAAAGTTGAACTTACTTTCGACTCAAGCTTTTGTACGCTCGAAACATCCAAGCCCATCCTGGATTGTGTTTTGCACCCCCCACAAACAGGACAACGGTATAATCACTTTCAACAAAAAGATCAAGTTTGAGTAGAATTCGTCTGAATACACCATACATGAGAAATGTTAGTTACCATGACGATTGAGATTTATGAAATCAAGTGATATATGTTCAAGGAACGCACGCCAAAATTTTATCGTAATCGAATTCCGAAGGATTTGGCAAATTACACGCGCAGACCACGACCATTGGCTTGCTTTCAAAATCAACACCTACAGATTCAGGAGGTCATTATAGAAGGTTGAAGAGTGAACACCGCATTCTCCAGGTAATGAAACTTGTTTCCTACCAGCTTGATAAATAACTTTGGAGTAAACATATTCGGCCAAAGCCTCTTCGTCAACAGAGGTCTTCGAGGCTTGTGGTCGAGAAGACGACGACATAGAGAACCAAAGTTTCCACATTTTCTTTTGCCGTTTAATTTTACGCGGCCTGGTGAAATATTCAAAGAAGGGAGGATTATTGCGAAACCTCAAATAAATGTGGAATCTGTATGTTCATATAATCATCAAGTTTAAGAAGCTGCTACTCTTGCAAAGATTTTTCAATTAGTGCTCGTGACACAAATTACTCCTACACTGGTGTAATACAATTGTAAAACAATGTTTGCTAAGCCATTCGTATTAAAAAGGAATACGTAATATAAAGACAACACGATTACTTTTTTAAATTTCGGTTCATGTGATGTAATCGGAAATCAAAGCATGAAATTCTTTTAGGATGATCACTCCGCATTGGCAAAAATAGTATAAATACTTATACAATTCAATTAACTTTTCTCTGATGATTCTCATCGTTGTTTAATCAAAAAAAATATATCATATTTTTAAATACCACAAAACTGATAATCATGTCAAATAAGGTCAATCCAAATTACATGAGCGCGGAGCGTGCTTCCCAGGATGTGGAACGAAAGGAAATTCAAGAATCAATTTTCATAGGAACTGCCACATCAGGAAGGATGACTTTGATCGAGAAGAACTATGACAAAAGAATTATTATTCTATTAATTGTTGCTCCAATTTGGACTCTCTCGTTCACAGCCTTACCTGTGTTAATAAAATTTCATGGTATTGCTGCTGATATTTATCGTAAGTTCTCTTCTCTCTTCAAGAAATCTTCTCGGGTTCGATCAATTTCAATCGATATCATCAACTTTCTATTGGATCATCTTTTTTTAGGGTTTCTTGAACCGATAGTTTCATTGCCTATAAATTATTTCATTCTGATATCCGCAGAAGTATTCACAGATCAAAACAATGAAAACGCGCCTCTTTGTATGGATTCTTTACTTTCTGAACAAAACACGTTGTTTCTTGTTGAATTTAACGATTCCAATTTATATAGTCTTCAACATATCGGAACGGTCATTCCTAAATATTTGGTTTTTGGTTGGCGCAGCAATTTATGCACAAGGTATAGAGATCTAATCAATCATCTTGTTTTGGTTTTTCTTTCTCGCTCCATGTTTTCACAAAGCACGATATCATTTTTGATTACATAGGAGCCGCTATGCACGCTACCGCAATTATTGCAAAGCATAACATTAAAGATTTGATCACTGCATATCCCAACATCACAACCCAATACCCCGCAATTAACGACTCCTATACGTATTTCCAAGAAACTATTGAGCATGTGGTAACTATCTTTATTTTTATTTTTTGTTTCTTCTCTGGGTTCGTCGTGTAAACTCAAAATTTTCTGATTTTTTCAATCCCTAAGATTGGTCATTACATTTACGCCTTTGGTGCGGCACTTATCACGTGCGCTCACCTATTTGCTTACCGCCACCAACATCACTACAGTCTCCATTCCACTTCATCGTTTGTTGGCTGGATACTTGGCGGCATTCTATATTCTTTCCTCTTAGCAGGAGTAGCGATCGAATTTCCAAAAGGCACAATTGTTGGTTTAGCTTATGTGTTGGTAATTGGCATTCCTCTCGCGCTGTATTTGTTGAAAAAGAATTCCCTCTTCTCAAGAGGAAAAAGATTGGTATTACAATCTTACTTGATAGGATACACGGTGGCGTTGGTAATCATTGTGATTTGGATTATCTCTGTGCATGGATTTAAGGACCGTAAGAGCGCTGGACTTTTTGTAAAATAGAAAGTTTTGTTGAAAATCTTATGTCCCCTCGCGGGTAAAATATGATATACTGTATATGCTTGTATCAAATTAAAGATTAAATAAAAATTTAATAAATTATTAAATATGAATTCTGACTACTTTGTCTCCGTTCTTAAAACGCCAGCTCAGCCAAGACCTCAAAGCCAAGCCACCTCGGCTGGATTTAATGAAGTAATCAAAACTGTGCATCGTTAAGTATGATGACTATTTCCTGCATGACCTCCGGAAAAGAATCCGGGTTCAATCAAGCAAGGCCTGGAGAAAAATTCCACGAGCGCCACCTTTGTCACCATCCATTACGGTTTCACAAATGTGGCAGAGGACTACATATTTCAGATCTTGAGATTTTGAAAATCACGCGTTATACAAGTTTTAATAGTTAAACTTCATCTTGATTAAAAGTAATGGTACATCCACGATGCATTTTACAAATAACATGTTATCTTGATCATATCAAATACCTTAATATTAAACCCCACGAAAAATCATTTAATATTGATTATTAAATTACCGTATAATTTTAATATTTTAGAACGAACGTCAATCTTTTTTAATAATATACTGTACAATTGATTAAATAAATTATAATTTATTTTTAATACATTTTTTAAGGCGTACACTGATGATAGACTTTGTTACGCTTCGAACACCAACAAGTTGTATGGAAAGAAAAAAAAGGGGGGGGGGGGTTTCATAGAAAATAAGCAAATACTGTATATAGTTGTATATAAAAATATTATTATAACTATTTTTATTATATTCTATAAACTTATATATTATCTACTTTATTTTTATCTTTATTAATATATATTTTTTAAGTATAAGGCGTTTATTATTATCTTTTTTTTAATAACTTTTTTTTTCGAAATTTGATTCTTTTTATTTTCACATTTCTTTATATTTTCTTAAAATCCTGAATTAAAATTTTTTATATTTAGATTTAAACTAATAGAGTTGAATAGATATATATAATATAAATTATTTTATTGTTAACTTAATTTCAAAATTCTTAAAACAATTATATTATAACTTAATTGATTGTATTTAATTATATTAAGACAAATATATATATACAGTATAGTGTGTATTTTTATTTATTTTACTTTTTTTAAAAAAAGCTTTTGTCAATAAAAAAAACTATAAAATTAAAGCCAATTTATTTTATTTTTACACAAATATTTTAAATAACAAAATTGAATAATTTTTTATTTTTATTACATTATACTGTATATCATATTATTAAAAAAAATTTGAAATATCTTGAAATATTTTAAAATTCTTTATAATTTCTTAAAATATTATAGATTATATTTATATTTATTTAAAAAATAAAAGAATATTATTAATATTCATTATATTTGTATTTATATTTTATTTTATATTTTATATTTATAATATTTAAATCTTTTAAAAAACTAATAAAAACTTATATATTAATAATATTTATATTTATATTTATATTTATTTATTTATTTTAATTTATTTTTAGATAAAAATATTTTATATATGTGTTTTTATTAAATTATTTATATTTAATATATGTATATTCAAATTTCTACTATTTTAAATATTAAATTAATCTTACAACTTTATTTATAGACTTATTTATTATATCAATTTATTCATAGCAAATATAAATTTGTATTCTAAATAAAATTTTTAAAAAATAAAAATCCTATCATTAGTTTTAAACTATTTAATCTAATTTAGATTTTGTTTCAATTATATCTGTTATAAAAAAAATATAATTATTATCTTTTAGAAATAATTAAAATATTTGAATATCACAATATTTTTTTACTTAAAATCTCAAAAAAAAAAATTACTTTTTGTTATCATTTATAACTTTAAATTATTTCAAATATATTGTATATTTAAATAATTATTTTTTAAAAAATAAATATTAGATTAAAATAGTTTTAGATTAGAATATTCTTTGTATAATGGAATTTATTATTACTAGTTTAAATTAAAAATTAATAAATTTATTATTAAAGTTAAACCTAAAGTATTTTTTTATATAATCTTTTTTGTTTAATCTATTTTTAATATGTAATTAAAACTCTAAAAAATATTAAATTGATATTAAAATAATATTAAAATAATATTAATTTATAGTAAATTCAATATATGAATTATAATTTACTTATATAAATTTATAATAAATTCAAATATCCAACTGCTATCAAAAAGTAACATTAAAAGTATTAACTGGAATTATTAGAAAAATTAAAAATTTCATTTTTATATAACCTAATTAATTTAAAAAGTAATTAAAAATTATTATATATAATATATATAGAATAATTAATAAACCTATATATAAAAGTGTTATAATAAAAAATTATTAAATATAATATACTATATATAAGATATCTAATAAATTTATATATAAAGAATAATATATTTTTTATTTTATATAGATATTGATTTAAAAATATATATTGAAAACTTAAAAATATTATTTATTATACTATTGATCCAAAAGTCTAATATATATTTATATAATATAAAATAAAATAGACCTATAGGTTTATAATATAATAGTTTATACTTTACAAATTAAATTATAAGATACCAATTCAACTTTAGGTAAAGATAGTTAAATAGAATTAATATTATATCTGATATCATAATCTGATAAGTATTATTTCTTATAAAAAATCAATTCATATATTAATTCAGTAAGTATTAAAATTATGATTTCCAAAGAAAGTAAT